ATGCCGGCTTATTCAAACAGAGACTGAAAACCAATTGTCTACATTACAAGTCAAATTCTGTAGTAGAAATGTTCTGTTTGAGTGACCAATAAAGGTACTTTAGAAGATGCAAGTCAACACTCAATGGGGCACGTAAAAACAACACACTTGCCTCTAGGAAAAGCACTTTCTATCTGTTAGAAGCTAGACTTAATTTCAGAAAAGAGTATTTTGGTCTTACGGAATACCTGCCTATTTGCAGTCACGAAAGGAGATATTCTGCACCAGAATTTATATAGACAAGGCAGAGTTTCAGCACTTAGATTCCAAATGAAGTGTTACAAAGTGCCACAATTCTTGCAGTTTGCTGAGGCAGGCTGAATATTTTTAGAGTTCATAGCACATTAAAGCAATTATCTGCTGTTTCAACTTCACTCAGGGAAAACAGATGAGTAAATATGCAACAATAATTCACACAAGGAGGAGTCCACAACTCTTCTAACAAGGAAAAGAAAAGCACCTTTCAGGATTACTTGTAAATCTAACAACCAGAAAAACATCAAACTATATAGTTAATGAGAAGTTTTATCATGTTTTCATGGATAGTACAGGATCCTCCAATGCAGATCTGTCTGGTTATACCTCCTAACCATTTTTCCCCATAGAGTTTTTGGGGGCAAAATAGGGAAGGCACACCACATATTAATTTTCCAGTGTAGAAATGAATGTTCTGTTCCATCTATGTTTCACTCCAGTATCCCACTCTAATTCTTCAAGTGTAACCTATCCTTTTCAATGTCATCCTAACTGTTCAGGTTTGAGCAGTATGACCAACCCAAGGGATGATCTAAAATATTTTATTTTATTTTATTTTATTTTCACTTTTATAGACCGTCACAATAACCACATGGCTGTCTGGATGGTTTACACAATTAAAGCCACCATCAAAACATAGGAAATGACATATTAACCAATTCAATAATAAAACATCAGTACCAATAAAACATCCAATAAAAATAAAAATATAACAACACTTGGGTCCTGGTTTGTGGGCAAACAAATAAATATGGGGAAGGATACATTCTGCAGGGATACAGCATCTTGGCCAAGGAACCAAGAATCCCCAGGAGCCAGCCAGATGCAACAACAAAGAAAGCAGGCAACCAACTAGGTCCCATCCCCAGGCCAAGTATGCGCAGCTGCTTCGATTCTTGCTTTCCTCCCTATTCTCCCCCTCCCCTCGACACACACACACTTCTACATCATGGCTGTGTGTCTCCAGGCAGTGTAGGGAATGCAAGAGGCAGTTGTGTTTGGTGCAAGTTGCAAGCTCAAGATTTGAACTCTTCAGATGGGGAGGGCGGACCCTGCGAAACTGGGCCTCCAGATATCGAGATGGGAGAAGAGGAGGGGCTAATCTCAAGGCCACCCTCTCCAGGCATCCAGGCAGATCCTGAGAATAGCCAAGATCTACAACTCTTGGGAGGGGTGTGAGACAGGGGCTCCAGGAGCCAGCCGAGCCTGGTACGGCTCTTGACCCCATGGTGCAGCCTCAGGAGGGAAGGGCTAGCCAACTAGAGGGGCAGTGAAGAGAGAAAAGGGGCCTTCTAGAGGGAAGGGGCCCAGGGGTACTGCAAAGGAGGATTCTCAGAAGTAGTGCTAGATTGGTTCAATGAACCACTCTGCAAATGCTCAGAGACTCATTCTGTGGTGACTGCACTACCTGGATGTACTCTGGAGAATAAAGAGGTTTTGCAGAAGAACGAACTGTGGCTTTGAATGTACAAAGGGGAAAACTGAGCTCCCAACAGGCTGAGGATGTATAGTTAACAAACTATAGCTGCTTTATAAACGTTTAATGACAACAACAGCAGGTCAACCTGAAGTACTTCCAGTTTAAAAGATGTGGTAGCTGGGAACGTGAAATAACACTCCTTGAGATTCTGAAAAATGAGACCATGCAGATAATATTGGACTAGATAGTTCTTCCCCAACTGGTTCTCTGCAGACAACAGAAGATGTAGCCCAACACCTCTGGAGGACACCAGGCTGGGGAAGGACAAATCACCTGGCCTGGTATAAGGCAGCTTTCTAGCTTATGCTAAAATAAAGGAATAAGCCAAAATAAATTGCAGTGAAAGAGCACAAAAGACAGTGCTACATTGCATAGTTCTTCAGGAGCAGGGGTTCAAATATATGCCGAAAGGGAAGAGAGAACATCTAATTTAAAAGCTCATCATGGAAATGTATTGTGTTTGCTTATTGCTTTCTTCCCCTTTAATTGTATACTGCTTACTATCTGTACAAAATCAAGTATGCCATAAAGTGTCAATACAGCAGCTTTCCAGTCCCCAACTCAGATAATTATTTAGCTTTGCTTTCTTTTTTCCTCTCTAAATGCCAAAACAAACAACAACAGGGTCAGCGAAAGGTAAATGTAATATGCCCTTATGATTTATTTTAAAATATGGCAAGTTGACAGACGTCACACTGAGGAAGGCATTTGTCACAAAATTAAGCATGGCAGCAGCCGCAGTTCACATATACATGAATGGAAGGGGAAACATTTTCTTCTGTCTCTTCCGTGAATGGTTGGCAGTTCAGCTATCTCTAGCAGTCCATCTTTTTTCCAAAGAAGAGCAGCTGCAATTTAAGGGCATAGTCACAATACTCCAACCTTCCACAGTCTTGGACTTCACATCCCACAATTCTTAACCATGCAGAATGCTGGACTAGAGGAGACCTTTGGTCTAAGCAAGCAGGGCTCTCCTTATGAGATCTTTATGCATCATCTTTTAGACGTAATTTACATCTTTACATGTAATTTTGAACATGTAAAGTTGCTATAATGTTCTCCATCATTCAGAAGGAAGCCAAGGGGGGCTGATCTACGTAGCTCATGGCTCTTGCATGGAGGTTTGGGTGTGTTTGCTCCTGTGACAACATCAAACCCTTTCTTCTTGATACTCAAGGCTGCCAGCAAGCCAGTATCCTTTAGTGGTTGCTTCCATTAAAAGCCCTTTAACTTGTGGGGCTTAATTACTGGCCTAGTTAACTATCTATATGGGATCATGTGGAGTGGTGCCTAGGAATAGAAGTAATAACAAGGTCTCAGACAAAGTTTTATTCATTAGCCAGTTTTTTGTCCCATCACTGCAACCTCAGTTCACATCCAAGGCTCTGTGCTTGCAGCTTGCATTCCCCAAAAAAGAGTTATTCAGTTCACACTGCAGATGCATCCCCACTATCTGGATTGGAACCACAACAGGAAGCAAAGGATTAAAGCCTTTCTAAGCCCCAAGCTACAGTCCTTGCCCAGATGGCCCCTGTGTTTCCTTCAGGGGATAAAGGTATAGATATTATATTATCCATATAACAGATATTTAGCTACCACCTACATCAAACATTTACTTTGATCTCAGTTTGCTAACAGGCCATCTCAAAATAGAGAAAAATAGCTTGGATCTGGAATTTCTGCAAGGATAACTCCATTCGCCAGCAGAAAACAGGAGGAGGACATTTTTTATAGTTCTGCCTTTTCTATGATCCAAGGGGTTGAGGAAACTTCTAAAACTGAGGAAAGATAATGTGTGTGATTGCTACTGGGAACAGGGGAAATCAGTATGAATGGGCATCTCTGTCTCTGCTAGATTCCAGTCCTTCTGCAAACAGAAGGGGCACTCTAAATCTAACCCTGAAGCTTCAGGAAAGAAATATTCTTTTACCTGCCCTAAGCTTCCTTGAAGAACTGTGAACTAGAAGGAAATTTAGCTCAACCAATGAGCGCATAGGCTAAGCTATGCTTTGCTCCAGGTCCCCTTGACTCAGGGCAGGTGGCAACTGACAAGTCTGTTTTCTCGGTTGTGACTCCCTACATATGGGCCTTTCTCCTGGTGACAACTTGCCTACTGCTCACCTCAGTGTCTTTTCTTGCCAGGCAGGAAAAGCTTTGTTTTGCACTGGTATGAAGAGATGCAGGCCACAGCTTTCCAAAACCAGTAGCTCCTGCTAGGCTATATAGCTCCACCCAGCCGTTGTTAGAGCCAGGCCAAGTACACACACAGGCACACAAAGATGAATGATGACATTCATTATTTATTTACTTATGCAACTTGTTAGTCACCCAGGCAATGTAAATAAATACAACATAAATGGGAAAATGAGTTACATACAATAAAAATGAAGAATAGCCACAAATACAACTCAAAGACCAAAATATCAAAAACATGTACTAACGTGACTGAAAAACTTCCATGGAGATGAAAACAGCTCCAAAACACAACTCCAACAAGTCCAAATAGGTACTGAAGTATACAGAAAAATAAAGGCCTAAGAGAAGAAAAGGGGGGTTTTCAGCCTGTTGCTGAAAAATCAATAAATTAGGTGCCAGGCAAATCTCTTTGAGGGTGACATGCTACCACTGGGAGGCCCACAGAAAGCACCCATTTAGAAGTATCCACACACCAGATATCAGTGGGTTATTTATGCTCTACTTACCATGCTAAATAAGATTTTGTTCTTCAAGACACACATTTAGGACAGACAAATCTTCCCTGTCTCTCTTCCTCTACCATGCATATTTCTTAGTACTATAACCAAGTTTATATCTTGGTTCTTTTATTTCTATATTCTATAAGGTCATGCTTCCTATCAGTAGCACTAATACAGTAGGACAGGTCAACTTATGTCCAGATGAAATATGGTCTCCCTCAGTACACAGGATTTATCCAGTGTGGGGCATGAGAGCAAGACGTGGGTGGACATGCCCTCCTTCACCACGCATAGGACATTCAGTATGGCTGCGCACAATTATCTGAGCTGGTCCAGCATATGCAAAATCTACATGGCCTAGGACATGTGCAAACAGGGCTTCAAGGATCTAACTCTTAAGATTCCAAAATCAGTTCTTACAACAAAGATGTGCATGCCCCGTAGCCTCATAATTCATGTTGCTTAATGCATAATATAGACATCAAATGACAAGCATGTTACAACCCATGAGCGTATTAAGTATGACTCACCTAATAGCTTTTCCCGTTCCTCTCTCCGTTCTCGGGCAACTCGCAGTCTTTCATCAACTTTCAGTGTAGGTGCAGAGTCTGCACAATAACAGAAGATTTAAAATCCTTTAGAAATGGCTAGATTCTAAAACCAATTAACAAGCAATTTTAAAACAAAACAAATGACCATGAGATGGTAATTAAGCCAGTTAAGAACTGGAAAAGCACTTATATTCAGCCTTCTCCAAGCTGGTGCCTTCCAAGCAGTTTGGATTTCAATTGCCATCAACCACAGATAGCATGGCCAGAGTTTAACAATGCTGATCACTGAAGTCCAAAACAACTGGAGGGTACAAGTTGGAGGGGGCAGTATTAAAATTAATTGTTGTTGTTGTTGTTAGTCGTGAAGTCATGTCTGACCCATCGTGACCCCATGGACAACATTCCTTCCTGTCCTCACCATCCCACGGAGTCCACTCAAGCTCACACCAGTGACTCCATCTAACCACCTCATTCTCTGCTGTCCCCTTCTTCTTTTGCCATCTATTGTTCCCAGCATTAGGCTCTTCTCCAGGGACTCCTTCCTTCTCATTAGGTGGCCAAAGTATTTGAGTTTCATCTTCAGGATCTGGCCTTCTAAAGAGCAGTCAGGGTTGATCTCCTCTAGGACTGACCAGTTTGATCACCTTGCGGTCCAAGGGACTCGCAGGAGTCTCCTCCAGCACCACAATTCAAAGGCCTCAATTCTTCAGCGCTCAGCCTTCCTTATGGTCCAGCTTTCACAGACATACATTGCAACTGGGAAAACCATAGCCTTGACTATACACACTTTTGTTGGCAGGGTGATGTCTCTG